CCGTTTATGGAGGAGAATCTCTCTCCCTCCTCCCCAACAATATTATTAATTAAATTTTGTGAATGAATAGTGGGCTCTTACGTCTATTACCGTAGAAAATTTTAGAATTTTTCGTGCATCCCTCACCAAATCTTGGGAGGTTATGGTTGAGCCACTTTTGGCCAAGACTCTGGGCAACAGCCAGTAGAACATCAGTTCGAAGCCCATGTCAATGTGTGAAATGTTGATTTTGATGTCGAATTGCTGGCAGGACCACATATCATCATTTCGTATGAAGTAAATTACATAAGCATTCGTTCGTATCTCACCTAACGGACCTTCAAGTCAACACAATAACATATTAGCTCCATATCTTGTCATATCATCATTGTTAGAATACGTCTCGGTATTTTGCTTGGTCGAATTGATGCATCACCCGTTTTTGTATGTGATTTTGAGGATTGCAAAATGTGTGAAATGAGTCTTACGAATGCTCCTATGAATTTTTGTCGTGATTACCGGACAAACGTTGGTTGATAAAACACTTGGTCAATCGACTGATCATGCATTCAATACACCATCTGGTCATTTCCTTTACATATTATACAAAAATGGCGTCTCTTTATATGGATAGTGATACTTGAATGGATAATAATTCATTCTCTGTCAAAAGTGACGAATATCAATAAGATATTTTACGAAGAAAATCATACAAAATCTTTTGTAACTAAGAAATATCTCTATTTACACGAATGCTTTTAGAGGAAATATCTCATTGAAAGTTGTCATGTTCTTGAAATTCGCCAGACAAGAAAAATTAAGAATTTATGACTACGACTTATTTGAATGACAGTTTACTGGTACCACCCTGTTCAGATTATTAACGTTCAAGTTGATGGCTTGGTCAATATACCTGCTATTCCTCTTCAACTGCACATGTATCCACAATTTTCTTATTACATCAAGTTAATTGGTACACCTGAGAAACTCACTGCTCTCGGTGTTGCTCTTATCGGCTGTTTCGGAGGTCTTCTCTGATCAGAGAAGACAATTGATAGCATGGGTTGGCCAACTGTTGAGAAAAAACCTTCCGATGCTTCTTGTAGCATGATGCTCAGTTTCGTTGTTTCATCAAACGCCACAGGAGTTGTGAGCATAAATTTAGATAATATTCATGTCGATGTTTATGCGATGACAACAATAGCAACAACGCCTAATATCATATCAATGAAGTGTGTAAAAAAAGATCGGACATAGCGAAGAAATTTTGGATTTATTGCTGCCTGCTTTGATAATCATCAGGCTTCATCTTCAAGTTCTAACAAGAGATGCTAGAGAGGATAGTTTCTCCCCATGTGCCACTCTGAGGATGCCAGCGAACTACTCAAGCGTTTTCATTTTCGCAAATGAAGAAGCCGTTATTGGATCGAATGACAATCAAATCCCATGACCAACTCAATTGATGCAACCTGATCCCTGATCCAGTCCCACCGGCTACCACGTCATTTTTCATTCACAAGCACAATCAACAATGCCAGAAGATCGGGGCATTGGTAGTACCAATTCTTATGAATTAATTCCAAATTTCAAGACGAATGTTTATGCATGAACCGAACGGAACATGATCGATAGGATGCTGTATTCACATCATTTAAAACATATCTGATGCATCGGGTCTCATGGATAATGATGTGCTTTAATTGTTGACATGCTCATTTCGAGATATCGCCAGTTGATCCGAAAAAGTATCGACCTCGACTAAGCCGTCCGTTTTTGATTACACGGATGAAATTCGTGCAATTGTCAGACTACTCGAAAAAGGCTCTACGTTTGAATCGTTTTTGAAGAACTGTGAGACGATTCTACTGACGTGAGTGAAAAGTTTTCATTGGCTGTCCTCAAAATCGGGTCAAGTCATATTATAACTCATCGTTCATTGCTCAATTTTTGATAATCCAAAATGAGCCATCTGTTTTCTCCTTGGTTTCAAAGGGAGGGAAATATTTATTTTTTTATGCAAAATCCAATAATATCATAGAGTCCTCTAGAGAGTTTTATAGCGAGTTTTGCACAAACATATTATTTCAGAGTCTAACGTTCAGACTAGTCTAGCATGTATGGAACGGAGTTAAAATGAATGGGGATATCGTGAGTGTAGGCCGTTCTTTCACAGAAACAAAAGCAGAGTGAATATCAAACTTTGTATAGTATGTTTTATCTGTTTATGACCGATATCCGAATAAGTAAAACATTGATAAAATGCATCATCACTTATACGACTATCACACATTACACAAAACGATGGTAATGTCGACGTTGCATCTGACAAGAGAAGATAAGATTACTAGTGGAGCAACACACATATATCAGCATCACAATGAATTCTTTGATGCTTTACGAACCAGCACAGTGTATCTCATGTTCTAACTATCTCTTCCATATATCCACCTGAACACTTCTACAGAATATGTATTAGTAGTACGATTGCTGAGAGCTTGAGCATTACTTCATGATCGAAGTTTGTTGGTGTAACGAAAAAGTTAGGTGAGTATTGAGTCAGAGTCCATTGTTCAATATTATTGTTGGCAGATCGACGTCCCGAGGTCATCTCTCTTGTAGATGTGGCTATGATCGGGTTAATTGGTGAAGGCAAAGAAGACTTTGCCTGTTTTCAAGAATCGACACCCGCTGTCACTCGATTTCGGACCCACTCATGCACATCCACACCTTCTCGCTTCTCTACTTTACTATTACCGAAAAATTTTCTTAAGAGTAAGTTACCGAGTAAATCAGACGCTCTCGGACACCGATGATGAAACGATATCGCAGAATTAGTTGATATTTAGATATGTTGTAGAGTTTGGAGAGTTAAGTGCTTTCTGAAAGTTTCGATTCTATCGCATGCATTATTGTGCTATAGCACTCGCCACAAGGCCAAACATTTTCCGTATAAATGTTGTAGCTTGTTTCAGCAATGTCTCCCATATATCATGCAAAATGTACCTTTCCATTTCAGTCTAAAAGAACGGAAAAATTTGGCTATTTCAAAAAAGAAGGCCGTCGTCTTTTAGTAGAGTAATTTACCAAATCGAACAATAGGATGGGGAACAGTTTGTCCAGAAATCGGCCCTAAATGAAAATCAGTTTGGAAACCGGTTGTATCTTAAAAATAATGCTTTTCTCTTCACCACTAAACGACTCTAGATGCACATGAATGATTTCTCCAAGCACTTCATAGTCAATTCGATGAGACAGCTCATCAGTTTATGCAGAGCAGATTTCTGCCTGGGATAGCATCATGCAGTGCCCACAATTACTAGGTTCACCAATGTGAAATTGATGTTCTGTCAAGAACAGATACAACTTTTTGAGAGCCATAGAATGATGCCAAAATATGTACCAAAATATGCTTCCCTAGATATTTTTCAAAAAGTACATACTGATGTAACCCTGTAGAACAGGATTCGATTTGATAGCTTTGTTCACACTCTCTCGGAGTCAAGCATAGTGCCGCAGCCGTTGTTTTAGAGCCGAGTGAAAATTTTCAGATCCATATATATTGCTGCAATGTACAGAATAACTCCATTATTCTTGCTGAATGATGAGGCGAATGGATCGTTATCCTTCAAGAGCGAAAATAAACATGCAAGAAAACCTATTGGAAATATTTCATCTGTATTAATGTGAGTGTTCAATTGACAGTCTAGTTTGTGCTCGTTTTATCCTAACAGTGAAGGGCATTCAATGCATTCGAGCGGTTTTTTGCACATCTATGTTTTATTTCCAGGTCGAAACGAACGTAAGATGAATAAGGTAGTGGCAGATCCATCGACAGAGCTAAAGGGTCTAAGCCACCTCCTGCATTGATAGAGTAAGACATCCAATTAGAGAGATGAAATTACAGTTCTTACAGAATCCAATCTCCCTTGGTCCTTCCGAGAGAGTCAGGGCAAAACCATTGTGTCCTCATCTCCACGGTCGGTCGAAGTTCTGATCCGCGCACTAGAATATGGGTCTATCGAATCTGCGAGCTAGAGAAATACCGTTCAACAACCGCTCTCTAGCGAGTTTTTCTCACTCTAATGACTTTTCCTTTCTTGCCTAGATATCCTCGAGGTGACGCATAAGAACGGCCAGAGTCATTGCGAAGTGACTATTGAAAGAGTCACTCGAGTAGCATTCGCATAATAACAACAGAATACACAAAATGCAATAGCAATCGGGACGGCGCAAATTTTATTGGAGTAGCAGGGTTACCCATGATCTCTTCTCTCGAAATAGTCTTAAAAGTAATAACAATGCAGAAAAAGACAAGCAAATCGCGCTGCTCACTTCGTTCATTGCCAACAGCCGAGAAGGAAACAATCATATCGCCGTTGTTCGCAGCTCAGAATGACAGCCTTATTCACTCATCGCCCTCATCCCAACTGCATTGTACCGTGTTGAACATACACGCCTACGTGATCATTCCTAATTACGCTCGGCAAATGCGTGTGTTCTGCGAGCAGGACTGATTTTTGCATTTAATCCCACTTGCAAAATGCGTGCGCTGTCAGTGTTTTACAGGTATTGCGTCTGATGCAACTAGATAAGAATAGCGTGGCACAAGAAAAGCATACAGTAAAAACCAGGGATTCACTCAGTATTCTAGACTCAATCAATCAGTCTATCTTTCCTACGAACAATCTTGATCCGAGTAAACCGATTCGACTGCTTATGGATCACCAAGATGATAAGCATTATGATTTAACTAGTCTGACATCGTCTAGTAGCAATCTTCTCATTTCTTGTACATCTGCTATAACAGTCGTAGATGCAACAGCACGGCCAGCATTTACCATGCCTTTGACTGCGCCTCCACAACAATGTGTTCCACAGATGTCATTCGCTTCGGATATGAAACGAGACGAAGGATCAGTAGGTGATCGATCGAGCTTGATTATTAAAATTTGCGATTGTCTTATCAGGAATACTGTTTAGAAAATGCGTTCGATGTAGAACAACAACTGGTTTCGGACACGATGCCCACTGCGCCAATTCCACATTTCTATGACAATCCACACAGTTCATCGATTCATCCAGCTGTTGTCGTTCAACCGAAAGAGCTCGTTCGTCTTCCACGTAAGTATTTCCTGTTCATTCGATAAGATTCAACATTCGCCCATGATCTTGTTTAGCTCTTCAATTGAAATCTGAAGCGCTTGAATACGAGTCGGACGGAAACGAACAAGCCCGGTTTGCTTGGCGAGTGATGAGCACGGCAAACAAGAAACGTATACTTCTACTCGCTCCATTGGGTCCAGGCAGTGGCAATGCCGCGACCGCCTCTCGTCTTGCACACGGCCTATGTCAATCATCGGAAATCACTGTTGATTGTTTGTCTGTTGATATGCCACACACCGATTCCGATTCATTACTAGCATTGATCCATCGATATGACGTGGTTTTGGCATTGCATGTTTATCGTGCCGGTCATTTGTTGACTTCGATCTATCAAAATAACTCTGATCTTCCACCACTTATTCTCATATTTGCCGGAACTGAACTACATTCATGCCTGCTAGAATGGATGCCGACAATCGAACAGATTGTACCAAAAGCCCGTGGTCTGGTTTGTTTCAGTACCGAATGGAAGAAATATGTAGAGAGCACCTACACAAACCTGCTTGCTTGTCCGATCACCGTTATTCCACAAAGCGTGCTGCTGTCGCCATCGATCATCGAACAATCGCCTTTCTCAGTACCACTTTTGTCGTCGCGCAAGACTATCCTTTGGGCAGGTCAAATTCGACAGGTGAAAGATCCACTGTTTGCTGTCCGCATCATGTCCCATTTGGATGATCACGAATTTCAACTGAGTATTGTCGGTTACGAAACGGACCAGTCTCTTGTCAACGCCATTCGATCTTCATGCTCACGTTCAAATGTTACGTTAACTGGTGGTCAATCTACGGGTCATGTCCATGCACTCATGCGCACCGCCTTCGCCTATTTGAATACTTCTATCAATGAAGGAATGTGCCTAGCCATACTCGAAGCCATGGCACTTCGTCTGCCAGTCATTGCTCGTCGGAACACCGGTAATATTAGTATTGTAACCCATGGTAAAACTGGATTATTATTCGAAACACCTGAACAAGCTGCTCAATGTTTGTCGCAACTTGCTAAGGATACTGCATTACGGGAGACACTGATTCAGCAAGCAGCTGATCAAGTGAAGA